AGCGTGACGGGCTGCTCGGGGGCCAGGCCGCGCGCGGCGATGCGCAGCGGCTCGTCGCACAGGCTGCGGCCCGCGGGCTGCACGCTCAGCGTGGCGGTTGTCCGGGCAGAGACCCGAGGCCTCTGGCCACCCAGCCCGAGCGGCGGAGGCCCTGAGAACGGGCCGCAGCTCCTCAGGCTCCACTGACACAAGCCGCGCGCGCGCAGGCCCGCGAGCCACCTGGCCACCATTTTGCGTCCGGGCTGCGGACCTCGGACTGAATGGCAGTGTGAGGAACGAAGTTATTGTGGAGAGCCTCTGTGGGCAGGCTGCTGGCTTGCAGGCTACACGCCCACCCGGCCGAGGCCGCAGCCAATCAGCGAAAGCGAGCACAGTTTGGAGGATCTTGGAGCCCGGGTCGTGGAAATCACTTTTGTCCTGAGGAGCAGGGCTTGCTTCTTAGCTCCGCTTCTCCGGAGGTCATTGGCCTGCGAAGGCTGGGCTGGGCCCGAGCTGGCTCTTACCCTGGCGCCTGGCAGGGCCTCTGTTTGCTGAAGTCCTAATGGCTAGGAGGGCTGCAGGACTGGAATGGAGTCTTAGCTTGGTTGAGTAATTCACACTCGTCTCTAAGCTTGTGTCTTTGCTTCAAAATGTGCGTCGTGCTGTTTTCCTTGGTGTTTCCTTGCTTATCTTCTACATCTGTCCCACTTCCAAGCGTCTTGTCTTGCTACTAACTCTGTGACCTCTGAGCTGCATTCCACGCAAGTGTAAAAATAGCCAAATGCGTAGTTATCATCCTGGGCTCTCCCCTTGCTCCTTTAAGCGAAGGCTAGCTCCTGGATTTCTCTCCTTTTTCCAGTTTTTCATAAGCTATCAGTTCTAACTAGTTTTCACCAGACTTAAGCTGTAGACCCTTCCAAAGCCTTGTATCTGATTTTATGTGCACAATTTCATATCCTTCTTGTTAGAAAAACCTGGATATGTGTTAACTGTGTTCACCTCTGCTCCCAGTGAGACCAATCTCGAGAACTTTCCCAAATACACCTTAGTACTTAATTTCAAATGTGCTCCTATCCTAATGGTCCTTCATCATACAAACCGTATAGCTCTAAATACTTCTGTACTGATTCTGTGGGGTACTGCAGAGAGTCCAAGGGTAAGAATAGCTAATTCTTAATTCTTACAAGAACTTTATGAGAAAATTAAGCCTCGGAGAAGTTAACTGATTTACTAAAGATCACTCAACTAGGAAATGGATGTGCTGGAGTTCATTCCCAGCCTATGACCTGGACCATTATCCTTTAATTGTCTATCACGTGATGATTACCTACCTTGAGAAGAGAAAATGGAAACTGTTCTCCTGTTGGTAGATGCACAAGCTAGTAAGTCTTTTCAGAGAAATCTGTATGAAAAAATTCATTCTCTTTGACTCTTAACTCTGTATCTAGGAATCTCTTCTAAGTAAATGTTCGTGAAGGTGTATAAATATTCGGCTACAAGGAAGTTTATCATATTTTTATAGAGAAAAATTTAGAAAGAAACTAGAAATACAAATTTGATATGAACAATTTGTGATGCAGTCATATAATGAAAAACAGCCATTTAAAATGACATGGCAAAAGTGTATGTAATGAAATTTTCATGAAGGAGAAAGTAAAGAAAAGTAGATTAGGGAATAGTATATGTAATTTTTTAAGGTTAAGAAAAGGCTAGTGGAAAACTATCCCACACTGTTGTTTTGTAGCCCCTTGAGGCAGTATGGATAGTTTTAATTTTCTTTGTCCAGAATTTGTATCAGAAAACCTAAATGCCTTTAATAATTACACAGAGTTTGGCTTTTTTTAGTTGTGAAATTCTCTGAAGAAACTGCATATGTAGTAAAGATTCTGTAGACTGTTTGACCTTGGCCAATGATGACAAAATCAAGAGCCAAAATTGTCTTTGGCTCCTAATCAAGAGCCAAAATTGTCTTTGGCTATGCAGACCTTTTACTGGTTATTTACCTTAACTTTTGTATCTAAACTAACATTCTCATGAGTAGTAGATAAACTTCACTAAGTTTAGCAGATCCCTGTCCTCCACCAGCCCTAAAGCTGAGTTCTGTGAGATGACATCTGAAATCTATAAAAGAGATTCCCCCACTTGGTTGTAGCATGCCCACTTGATGCCCCCACCAATGTAATGGGTAAATGTATTGATTTATGACTCACTTTTGTTCCATTGTTCTGTTGTGGAAAATTTCACATAACTACATAGAACATGTCATTCACGGTAACTTGAATCCATGTTCCTGGGCATGGTCACTCATATCTGGTTCAGAATAAACTATTTTCTTCAAAGCAGAATTATGAGCCACACGTGGCAGGCAGCACCGGCTTGTAATCCCAGGCACTCAGGAGGCTAAGGCAGGAGGATTATGAATTTAAGGAGAGCCTGAGCTATATAGTAAGACCTAACCTCACAAAGCCAGAAAAATAAATAAAAACCAAAAAAGCAGAATCATTTCACATCAATAATGCAAACAAAATGTCCCATTTTAACTATACAGATTAAGAGCATTAAGCACATTCACATTGCTGTGCAACCATCACCACCATCCATCCATCTCCAGAATTTTTTCATTATCCCAGACTGAAACTCTGTGCCCAGTGGTGAGGCTCAGATGTCTTTGTTAGAGCTCAGGAAATATACTCCAGAATGTGATGCTTTAATATGTTGGGCACATTTTTTTCTTTTTCTTATTTTTGGGGTGGGGGTTAGTACTAGGGATTGAACCCAGGGTCTTCACACTGAGCTGCATCCTCACCCCATTTTTTTGCTTTTTATTTTGAGACAGGATCTCACCAAGTTTTCTGGGCTAGGCTCAAATTTGGGAACCTCCTGCCTCTACCTCCAGAGAAACTGGGCTTACGGGCATGGGCCACAACCCTGTACCTAAGCACTTTGAAAGGAAATTGGAAAATCTTAGAAGCTGCTTAAGAATCAAGGTCTCCGTAACCCTCCTGTTTCCCTTCGGCCTAGTGCAGGGACTGAGGAAGTTTCTTTCAAAAGAAATGCAATTGATTTAAATCTCATCCCTAGGAATTTCATCAAACAACCAGGAAAGATTAAACACCAGAGAAGAGACTAAAAGCTTTCACAGTATCTGAGCTTTTATCCATTCTTCTGAGGATAAAAGGGCAGCACCAATAGACTACCTGGAAGACTTTATCTGCATGAAACATATTGTATTCTTGGTGAAGTTTTACCTCTGACTTTCCCATAACTTATCAATACCTCCCTCAGAGTAGAAAGACATTTAATATCAGACCATTGTTTGCTCCTTGGGTTCATTCATTTATTCTATTTTTTTCTGATACCAGGAATCAAACTCATGACCTCAGGCTTGCCAGGCCAGTGCTTATGCCACTGAGCTATACCCCCCAGCCCTCATTCATTTATTCTAAAAAGCATATACTAGCTGAGCAAGGTGGCACATGCCTGTGATCTCATGAGGCTGAGGCAAGACAATCATGGGTTCAAGGCCAACCCAGGCAATTTCATAAGACCTATCTCAAAATTTAAAATAATTAAGGGGGGAGGGGTGTTGGGGGTGTAGCTCAGTGTGAAGGCCCTCAAATTTCTACCACCAGCAAAAAATAATACATAGTAAATCTATTACTATCTTTCAGAATTGCCTGTATCCTCCCACACTCCAGTCACTTACGAAGACATGAGAGCTTCTGAATCTTACTAGGCTACTGGGTAATCCCTTTTCTGTGATGCCCCAATGTATGTTAATAAATTTTTATATGTTCTTCTCCTGTTAATCTGTACATTGTCAGTTAATTTCAAGGACCCTTCAGAGGATAGAGAGGAAATTTACCCTGACTCTACGGCATCAAGCTTCATCTATATACCTGAAGCATGTATCTATTCTTTTTAAAGGCTGAATAACATTCTGTCATTTGCTTATCCATTTATCCATCAATGGATATTATCCACCTTTGGGCTATTGTGAATATGCTGCCATGAGCATCATCTACAAACAGTGGTTCAAGTCCCTGCCTTTACTTCTGTGGGGTGTATACCCAGAAATGGAACTGTTGGATCACACAGTAATTCTGTGGTAAAGTTTTTGAGTTTGCCCCTTCGACAGTGTTTTAATGCATAACCTTTTAATCTTTCAAGTCTTTTTTTTTCCATCCTGGAAGTGTACCCTCTCACCTTCTTATGGTCTGAGCACAGCTTGGTCAGGAATGCCAGCCTTCCTGGAAATAAAAGATGGTGATCACTGGAATAGCATGACCTGGGTCAGCTGGGCAGCCATAAGCCCAAATTTTCCATGTTGTCAGAATAAAATAGTTCATTTCACAAGCAGACTCATAAAGACCAGTCTTTCTGTAGGCCTGGAATTGTATTATTTGAAATGTAAAATTTGGAGAGTCCTCTTGTAAAAATCATGTTACTGGCTTAAGAACTGAAGTTCTCTGAAGAAGCCACATCTATATTCAAAAGTCTGCAGGCTGCTTGATGTTGGCTGATTAGAACATTGTGCTTATGGAGAGACGGAATTTTGCAGATTGAGATGCAAAGATACCTTGTTAACTCCCCCTATTTATTCTGAGTGTCTCACTATGTTGCCTAGGCTGGCCTCAAACTCATAATCCTCTTGCCTTAGCCTCCAAAGTAGTTGAGATTGTTTTATGGAGAAAGCTTTCAGTTTTTGTCCATTTAGTATGATGTTGCCTATTGGTTTTCATAGATGGCTTTTATCAGATTGAGGTAAAGACCATCTATTCCAATTTTATGTAGAGTTTTTATCATGAATGGGTGTTGGACCTTGTCAAATGCATTTTCTGCATCTACTGAGATGATCATATGGATTTTGTCCTTGGCTCTGTTAATATAATATATTCCATTTATTGATTTACATATGTTATACCATCTCTGCATCCCTGGGATGAATCCTTCTTGGTCATACTATATAATCTTTTTTTTTTTTTTTTTTTTTTTGGTTTTTCTCCGGTACCGGGAACCGAACTCATGACCTTGCGCTTGCCAGCATAGTATATAATCTTGTTGATGATTTGCTGCATTTTGTTTGCCAGTATCTTATTGAGAATTTTTGCATCTATGTTCATTAGGGAGATTGGCCTATAGTTCTCTTTCTTAGTTGGGTCCTTCTCTGGTTTTGATATCAGGGTAATGCTTGCTTCCAGGAATGAATTCCTGGGAATTGGGAGTATTGCTTCCTTTTCAATTTCATTAAAGAGTTTGAGAAGTAGCAGTATTAAGTCTTCTGTAAATTTCTTGTAGAATTCAGCAGTGAATCTGTCAGGGCCTGGGCTTTTCTTT